CAAACACTGAAAAGCTGAATGGTTGGATTTTTGAGCCTATATGACACCAAGCACATGTCACACATATCCATTTTTCTCATATGAGAGAATGAAGAGAAGAAAAAAAAAGCTTCTACATGCAAACTGCCAATACATACTTTAAGTTCTTCTGATTGGACAAAAAAGTGTAAAGTATCACGAAAAGGCAGTAAAAATGTGAGTCTGGTTCTCATGAAGATCTTTGAAGAATTCGGACAAAGAATGCAACGGGCCTCTGAGATAAACTCGGCGTGGTGATGATGATGATGATGAGCGTGCACGCTGTTCTTCATTTCAAGTCAGTGACTAATCAAGCATCAGCTACAGGAAGCTGAATCTGACAGATGAGACTGTGATTTAACACTTGAAAGACCCTGCTGCTGTGCATATCATCGACAGCACGCCAGCCTGCTGACAGCGTAATTCAAAGAGCAGAGGAAGCTAGGAGCCACCAGCTGACGTTCCTAACCTGTGCAGCTTTTAGTCTGCATGCTTTCTCAGGCAAGGAAAACCCTCCTATAGGTGGATGACACATATGCTGCACCGTCGGCTGACAAATGCCAAATACTGAGAATCAACTAGAGAATGAGAGATGTGCTGTTTTAGCAGCACACTGATGACAGTAATGAGCAAACTTGGCACCAAGCAGAGAAGTTGTCTACATTCTTGTCATTACTTGTGGTTACTAACAAAGCCCTTTGGACCTGCTATGCAGCCTGAGCAGATACTGGTGCAGAACCCAAAGCTGAGGCCTTCAACAGCAGGCTGTCTAAGTAGAAGTCAAATAAAGCCAGATTCCCTACCATGCCTAATTTATTCATTTATGTATTCAGTTAGAAAAAGTTATTCAGACTGTAAGAGTTGGAATTATTTAGGAATACGATCATCTGTCACTACTGAAGATGACTTTTCAGGCACCAGAAGCAGACACCCAGAAAATAAGGTACCTCTAACTCCATGCTCCAATTACAGTAACCCGGTTTCTCGTGCATCGTGAACCTAAAGTGCATGTGAATGCACCGAATGAAGTTGCTAAGCAACCAGCAAATAGGTTGCACACCATTTCATTAAGATTTTTTTCCTTCTCTTACACCCTCTGACTCCCACAAGAAAACTGAAAAAAAAAACGTGTGCATACAACTTACAGCATTTGTTTGGAAGTCTGAGCAATGTGATTATTTGCTCCGGAGCTGAAGGTTTGATGAAAACACCAAAAACATCGACACATTCAGTACAGAAATGAAGCGAGCTGCTGTGCTTTGTGTTATGACTAAAACAGGGCAAAGAAAAGACAGCCCAACTCAAGCTGCTGTGCCAGAAATTAAAAAGTGGAGCCAGACCGATCGATACTGGATTTTTGGGGTTGAGACAAACACTCATTTTATAACATTTTAACTGTACATTAAAGGAAAACCCTTAAACCAACAGTGAGGCAAACCACTGTTGTGCCATTATGAGCACTTTTGAGTGTTCTCTTCCATGATGACAGGACCTCCATGCACAGGACAAATGGCTGATTGAGTAAGATGTGATTCTAATGTTGCTGTTTACTGTTAAGCGGTGCACATACAGGATGAGACTGAGCATGAAAGTGACTTAAAGAGATCACAGGTGAAATAACTGCGGTGGTGACCAAGTTAAGAGCAGAAGACGGAGTGGGGAATATGCAAGACGATCATCTGTGCAGAAGTGCCTACAACGTCCACCACAGCAACCAGTGTCCCCTTCAAAAGAAAGCCACACACAGCAAGCAATTCCCTTGATATGTGGACAAAGCTTCAGACGCAGCATCATCAAAACATCAGCTGAGGGAATCATTTTTCTCCAGAATGACGTTTCGCCTCTCCAGTAGTTCCAGTGAAACATTAGACTATACTGGTGCATATCGGTGCTACTATAGGGTTCACAAAAAGAGAGATGGATAAATGACAAGGCTGTTTCCTGATTCGCTCCTTCCACATTTCTTAACAAAAGACGCAAGAAGCAGAGTTTGCTGCAACTGTAATGCACATGCGCCTTTTTTCTGGTCGTACAAGCCACATTTTCATAAAAACTAGAAATTCATGCAGTGTTTTATTCTATACACTTCAAGCACTTCGCGTGTGCATAGCCAATTTACAGTCACCAATTAATCGAACAAAAAATGTATTTTTTCCTTGAAAATGATTATTAGATCGTGTTAATCAACGTCACAAGGTCATTATCTGCAAATACCTTCAGACGATTCTTTATCATCGGATCACAAATTCCCACAATTACCCAGCGTGCACGGCACACAGCAGATCAGCTGCGAGCACTCTGGGCGCGTTTGTGTCGCTGCTGGAATCCACAGGTTGTCAGCGTGCCTGCTCCCACACCAAATGCAGGACGATTCTCGCGCAGGTGTGACCAAAAATATCCCGTGATAATGTGTCAAACTGCTTCATCAGTCGGAATAGTCGTCGCCATTCAAAATACGAGCACAAATCTGTTCGCGGAAAGGCTGTTTTTAGTCAAAGCTCACAGAGGAACAAAAATCTCCCTCCTGTGCAGCAGGACACCGCATCTGACTTGGAAACGCACACAGCGTGATCTTACCTGCCACGAACGCTGCTCTTCTCCGTCTGCCGCTCAGAGGCTCACACTCCCACAGCCCCACAGCACTTCACCGGATTTTAATCACGTGTCTCCAACAATTCTTCATACCATCACCTTAAAGGTGAACTTAATCCTACTGGGCGTTACATTTAAAGGACGGTCGTTCCTTCCTTACTCCTTAAACAGTGTTTTGAGGGCACCAATTTAGACTGGACAACAGATTTTACTACTTATGCTCAATATAGTTAAGAGAAATAAAAAAATAATAATCTAAAGATAAAGCAAAGAAAGCGTAAACCGTCGAATTTGATTGTTTATTTTATTTTATTTTATTTTATTGAAACTGCACATTCACTGACAATAATAGAAACTGGGCATTTCATTTTAAAAAACATCATTCTTGCAATAAGATGAGCTGGTTTTTAAAGTGACCTGTGAGTGACGTGTTTGCACACAGACTCTGCTTTAAGCCACGAGATCCGGTAAACGGTCCCATAATCACAGCTGAACTCACAGTGAGATGAGAAGTGACCTTTTCACCTTGTTAGCCGATTGTTCACATTCTAACACATACGTATAATAATAAAATTAAATACCAAAAATCATTTTTCAAAAAAAGATTTAGCAAGTTTGCAAAATGAAATATAATGCACATAATTATGTTTAAACATAGAGTCTACACACATACAGATACGTATAAAATATGTGAAAGAGCTATGAAAAAGACACCAAAGACTTATTCAGTAAAAATGCATCATCATCATCGTTGTTGTTGTTGTTGTATGTGACCTCCTAATTTGAATTCACTTCAGGACTGTAAAGAAGAAATATTTTTATCCCTTTTATTCCTGTTGCGCAGAAGTCAGTCACTGAGTTCTACAGACCCCTGGTGGCTATTTGTTGTAATTACACGATGACAACACAGCGTCACCATGACACCGTTTATCTCTTCTCTATCTTATTTCAC